CCCCAAGACCCCTTTATAACCCTTAAAAGTCCTAAATGATCTAGAGAAAGCATGGGGAAGACACACTTTTAAAGAAAAAGAAAAGTTAATTTTGCTATCTAGTGCCCTAACATTCCTTTCATGAGATTATACCAAGGTTATTTCATTTTTATGCATCTGCTTCATTTTTGGATTATATGTGAGCATCCTTCAGTTTGTGCATAAGATTCTATCTCACATATACACATGGAGAGTATGCTAGGATAATCATAGTGTGATTCATTGTTGAGAGAAACCCTTGGTGAGTTTTGCATCGAAGCTAAATTTGGATAGCCAGGTGAATGTGAATTTTGTTGGATAAATGCTTAAATTACATGTTCACTTCACACACACACGAGTTTGAAAATGAATGTGTAGGTGCATACTCTAGAATAGCATTTAAAGCCATGATGATGCTCATGCGTACTTTGTTCATGTATTTGAAGTGTTGTCATTAGCCCTATGTTTACGAGATTGGGGGAATATTGCTCAACCTTTAGATATTATGAAGGTTTTGGAATGCCTTTACCATTTAAATTTGTGCTTTACATTTTGGCTATTCATTTTGGTAGTTAGATTTAAAGATCCATGTCTTATGTGTTGAAAGCATCAAAATTTTAAATCATGTTGCAATTTCGTAGATAACTGTGGCATGATCACTCAATTGTGGTTCACAAGTGTAGGTTAGGTTTTTGGTGGAGTAGAGGTGGTAAATAGGTTGTTACAATGTGTAGAGAGTGAGTGAAATTGGGCTGGAAATGAAAATGGGAGCACAAGGAATTGTTGGAAAAAAGCTAAAACCTACAGGTAGGAATTTTCCAGTGCACAAAACCTACCGGTAGGTTTTGAACGTTATGCCGGTAGGTTTTGCCTAGAAAATTAGAAAACGAGGTTTTAAGCCGGTTTCTTTTGGGAAACTTTTCACTTTCCCCTCTAATCTCGACCTCCCAGGTTCTCTCCTCTCTATAAAAACTTCCCTAACCTCCAAGGATCCCTCACCCATGCATCTAATCTCTCTCAAAATATTCCTTGGTCGATTATTGCTTGGATTTCTTACAAAACCCTAGTTTTTTTTCAAAGATTTCCCAAAATCCTTTTCACTTCGATTTTCCTCAAAAGCTTGGAATCCATTGTAATGGCTCATCTAGGTAATCATGCTTATGTTCCATTTGATCTCTTTGAGGCAATTTGGACATGGTTTCTCCCCCTCGTGTTCCTTGGGGCATTTTTCATTTACATGGCCTATACCAAACAAACATGACCAAGTTCTCCACAACCCGCGGGTACGAGCTCCTGTAAGAGGACGAAGGTGGGGCCTAATGGAGAGGGTGGGGAGAGGAGAAAAAAGCAAAAAAATGATGCTCGTGCGAAGAACATTGACGAGAAGAATGTGACATGCGAGCATCATATGTACATACCCACCCTCGGGCTGAATGACGAGGTTATGAGGGTGATTGAGTGGTATGGGATTCAGATATGGTTTGAGACGGTCGCAGGGTATTGCCTCCCGATGTGTAGGGAGTTTTATAATAGGTTGAATATGGTAGACGAGGACCTTTGTATACTCAAGACCAATGTGAGAGGGAAGGTCTTTGAGATTACCACAGACTTGATAGCAACTTTGATGAAGTACTAGAGGTCTCCCCCCAATACCCCTATGTACCCACATAATGTCAAAGACAGAAAATTACTCCCAAAATATGTGCAATTGACATGTAAGGACCCAACCCAATTCAAAGGGAAAAGTCCTCAAGCACTCATATGAGGTCATGAACAAGGTTTTACACTTTAATTTGACTCCCTGGGGTGCAGAGAAGACCCCAAACCTTGAGAAGCTCGCCTTCCTCCATGCATTTATGACAGGAAAGCAGATGGATGTGGCTTGGATGGTTTAGGATTTCAAGAAGGAGTTTGCCCAGGCTAGCAAGCTGAAGGCGAATCTCTTATTCGCCAATTTGGTCACGAGGTTGTGCTATCATTCTATGGTCAAGGCATATGTCTCTGATGTGCTACTACCCCCAGAATTTGGAGCTATTGGGAAGTCCAGTAGCAGCAAGAGGACAACAATGAGTGGGCCTGAGAGAGCTATAACACCGAGACTTAAGCCATCCACTGCTGGGCCATCCTCCACTACTTTGCTCCGTACAGTTTCTTAGCACTTGGATGCTATAGAGAGTATGATGGATGACCTAGGAGGGACAATGCATCGGCTATCCCTAATGATGACGAGGATATACGAGCACACCTTTACGGAAGAGCCAATCCCTTATGTGCCTCTGCCTCCTACTGCTGGATCCTCCACCTCTGCCCCCATTACCTCTACTATTGTTGAGGTGGAGGGCTCTGACAATGATGACTCTGATGATGGAAGGGTAGTGAGTACAAGAGTGATGAGGAGGGGAGTGGAGATGAGGATGACGAGGAGTAGGATGCTTTGCTTGTTTTATTTGTTTAAGTAGTTACACAAATAGGAGTAGTGTTGATGAAATAGTAGAAAAGTCTTTAGGATTTTAGGTCGTTTGGCTTCTACTCATTGTACCTAACTTTTTGAAGTAATGAATGAAAGAACCATAGTTGTTTTTGTTCCATCGTGCCAAGTTCATTTATTTAATTGCAATGTGTTTTTTGCATTTTGATTGTTGGGTGATTTGATTTGCATGAATGGATTGTTTTTAGTTTTAGTTTTTTTCTTTAAGTTTTGGAGATAAAGTTTGCTAGGGATTAACAAAACTCAAGTTGGGGGGTGTAATGAGTATAGAATATTGCACAACATTTTTCACCCATTTTATACTTGCTTTTGTGGAGAAAATGGGAAAAATTGCATTTAATCTATCAACTAATGGGGTTTTGTGTGATTGTAGGTAATGAGTAGCTAATAACACGTATTAAACCTTCTATCAAGTGCTTAAAGACAATGAAGAAGGAGTGGAGGCTTAACGGGTGGCTTGGGATAGCAAAAAATCAAGAAAAAGTCAAAACAGGTGAAAACCTACTACTAGGTTTTGTGACGTTTTACTGGTAGGTTTTGCACACTGGAAATCATCTACTATTGCCCCTGCTAAAACCTACTGGTAGGTTTTGTCATCCTTCTATCTATAGATTTTCCCAGAAACACCAGAAAGCTACAATCTCTTCTCCAACTGCTCCATGGGCCCACCTCTACTTCACCCACACATTCCTTGACATATTCTACATATGAGCATGCCTCCCTACACCTAGAATCTAACTTTGGAAGAAAGACAATGGAAAAGGAAGATAAAGAAAAAGGGAGGGGTTGCAGGCATGACCTGTCCTTGCCTGTGTAAGTGTCCAATCTCTTCCCCATGCTGGGAAGTCAGCTCACACAGACCCTAGGGGGTGATGGACGAAAAATAAAGCATTCTTACACAATTATTCAGCTACCCAAGCTTTTAGAGAGAGAAGGTCCCAAGGAAAAAGATGAAGTTATAGAGAGAGAAAGTTAGGTTTTTGCATTTTCTTCTCCATTTTAGTTGTATTAAGCCTTAAATCACTTGTACTATGTACTTATTGCACTTTAATCTCCTTTATTTCAAGTGTATTCAAGTTTAACTACATCTTCTAGCATTTCAAGTTTTACATTTGGGTATTTGCCTTCAATCTTTGTATTTTGACTATGAATGTCATTTCTCTTATAGTTTAACTCTTTTCTTGTATTAATACAAGTTCCATGCTTATTTTCTTCATCATGTCTCTTTACATTATGAATATTTTTGCTTTGACTATGAATAACTAAGTTTTTAGTTGGCTAATCTAAGAGAGATTTCCTTGTGGGTATGCTAAATCAACTCTCTCCCATTCCTCCTCCTAGTGTAAAGTTTTTAGTTTGACTAGGTTGAGTGCGGATGTGGTTGTGAGCTCTTGATACATTATAGACTTGTTACAGAGTATGCTTGAACTTACACCTCCACATTAGTCAATCACTTCCTACAAATTAATCAAGAACCGAGACACCATTGGTAGAATGTATTGAGTTGATTTGACATTTCCATTGAAATGATTTATTCAGATTAGCCAACCTTGTTTCTTGCATTTTTATTAAAAACAGCACTCACAAAAACACAAACTCACAAGATTTTACACTTTTCATTTTTTACAATATCACTTTCATCACAATTCGACCAATCTTCTCTAAGGAGACGACCTTGAAATACTTAAATTCCAAGTAAAACATGACATTTGCAAGTCTTTTTTCGCTTGTGGAGCACTTTTGCACACATACACATTTTCATTCACACACGTTTTTCCCGTTTCTTGCGTGAAACCCGAGGGAGAGTGACACTAACCAACTTCTATAAGCCATACACACATAGTCCGGATTCATATTTAGAGATTAGGGTGAACAGGAACCAAGCATCTACCCATGCTAACTGGGGAGATTGTAAGGAGTATTGCAAATCCAGCAGAAAAGGATAAAAAGTTGAGACTGCTTCAGCTACTGATCTAGCAGAGTAGACTGAAGAGGGTGCTTAGCTAATTGAAACTGTTGCCCCTTTGTCTTTACAACATTTTTTTGTAATGATGCAAACTACTCTTTAATGAACGACTTCCTTTGTATAGTCTTCTGAAATGGTTTTGGTTTAACTTGAATCCCTTTGCTTTCATGTGGGCTCCATTGGGCCTTATGAGCCAGGCTGTTGTAGAGTTTCGTGGATCCATTATGAGCTAAATTTTATGCCCCTTCTTCTTGAATGGACCTCTAGGACACAATCTTAGATGATTGCGAAAAAAGGAAAATGAGATAATTGAATAATGAAGAGGCTCTAGGATGAATTGCAAATGCTAGGCAAAATGAACGGGGCAGAGGTTATCATTTGCAAGGTGAACCGGTTAACAAAAGCCAGTTGGGCCAGCCCCTGCCGATTGAGCCGCTTACAGTAACTCGGCCCGGTTGCAGAGAAAGATATTTTTTGCAAGAGGAGATAATTAAAAATTAAAAACAAAAAAATCTCCTAAGGACAAACCCCAAAACCCTACTTGTTAAAACCTCTCCTCTCTATCTCTTCCATTTCTGCTACAGTCCGACTCACTGAGTGAACTCTGTGTGTGTGTGTGTTCATTTTTCAATTGTAATAGAGGATGAAGCTGTATTAGTATAGCAGAGAATGGTTAATCAAACATGGTGACTAAGCAGGGTGTTGGCAACAGACAGCAGAATTCTCAAGGGTTCAATACGGCTGTGAAAGGGAAGACTATGAAGAGAAAGAAGCAACAGGTAAAGTATATTGATATTGATAATGATGGTGGTCATAGTCGGTATCGGCTTCCATTCCAGCAAGTGAGGTTAAAGCCAGACTACATTCTGAAGAAGGTGTTCCGAAAGGATGGTCCACCGCTCGGCGTCGAGTTCGATTCTCTTCCCTCTCACGCTTTCCAGTATTGTAGAAAAGGTATTGTACTATGGTGTATATGTTTAGAGTTCCAAATTAAATGGTAATTAAATTCGAGTTTTGGAATTTCAGTTCCATATCTGGGTCTGAATATCGTGTTGCGAATATTGGCGTTTTTAATGAAAAATTTCATTTAGTGAGGTCTGCAATTCTAATTTTATTTCAAATGCTTGGATTCCATGCTTCCAAACGGAGCATAAATGTGAAACTGAGAAAGAATTAGTTCAATCTTAGAACTAGTTTTGTCCGATTCCATAAAGGAGCATAAGTTTGACAACCTGACTTCATCTCTGCTTACTGGGTAGTGTAACTCTTTTGTGTACATATTACTTGACTGTTTGTGTTATCTATTACTGTATATTCAGAAAATTTTTGTTTCTCTTGTCTTCTATTAAAGTGCAATTGAAATACTGTATATATTCCTGAATAATATATCATTAAAAGGAGAATTAGGATGAAATGGTACAAAATTGACCATTTAAATTTCATAAACCAACACATGGCGGGACATTCCATGCGGTCTGAAATTTTCTGCTTCCTTAATTCTTTATACTTTGTTAGTAATTCACATGAATTGTTTGAGCATTTCTGTTTTCAGTGTCACACAGTAGTGCGATGAGTGCCAAGTGAAGTAATCAGTGTTATTCAGGTCACTCTGAAAAGATATAATTTTTTTGATTCTATCACTTGAGCTGTGGCTTAGTTAATATTCATGAATCTGTGTTTGTGAAAATGGGACAATGATAAATGTAGAAATCCTCTTCTGTTTTTTGGAGCAAATTATCTTCTCACACTCTCTGATAAATGAAATTCTTTGCAGTATTGTTTGTGCTTTTTCATTTTTGGTTGTCCATATCTTTTTTCTCATTAAATCTAAATAAATCACTATTGCAAACTAATACATATATTACATACGGATTTGCATACATACATATATATGTTTCTTAATTGTACCTTTGTCTTGAATTTGTGGAATAGACTATTCGGTATTTCCATGATTCCTTGGGTGGTTCCAAGAAGTTGCAATCGCGTTTTGAGTACGAATTTTTGAAGGCTTTGGTTATTGTCCAAAAGCCAATACTTTTTGGAGATGCTCGGTGTTGACTTTATTTTGGTTGGTTCGTTTGGAAAGAAATGGTCGGATTTTTGAGGATATGGAGGCTACTTGGGAAGATGTATGGGATAAGATAGCTTTCATGACATCTCTTTGGGTATTGACGTCCGAGGATTTCCAAGGGATTTCTTTATTTATTTTTTAATTATAAATCATTGGGCCGAAATGTGAATAGTAATGCCACACAAATACTCCATTTCTTTGTTTTTATTTTGTTTTGAGCTTGTTTAGGCTTTTCTTTTCTCTTTATATATCTATAGAGGATTCCTTGTCCTCCCACCATGTACTTTTACTCTGTCTTTCCTTTCACCTTAATAATATTGTTTGTTTTCTTAAAGAAATATGTACACACGTGTGTATATATATATATACACGTGTGTGTGTGTCTTTGAACTCTACTCTTATTTATGTTTTGTATCATATGATGATCAGGCTCTAGAAAATCTCATCGTGCTTGCCAAGAAAAGCAAAGAGCTTTGAAAAGGAAGAAGGTAGTAAAAATAGATTTCAGTTGGGATTTTTAAGGTTTTGGGATGATTTTCATCTTACTTTCTCTTTTTGTCCATATTATTTTTGTTGTATATTTCTACATGTCTCTTTTAGGTTTGTGAGCCTACCATCTTGAATTACCAACTTTGCCACGATGAGAGTGTTTTAGTGAAGAAACATGGTATAGGGAAAGGTTTGATGAGTTCTCCACCGAAGAAACATGGTATCGGGAAAGGTTTAATGAGTGCTCCAGTGAAGAAACATGGTATTGGGAAAGGTTTGATGACAGTTTGGCGGGCAACAAACCCTGATGCTGGTGATTCTCCTGCTGTTGTTGATTTTGGTGATAGGGCACTTTTCCAATTGCGTACTGCTATATCAACAAAACCAACGGTTCAGGAGAAGAAGAAAAGAGTGCGGCGGCTACAACCTGTAACAGTTAGTTAACTAATCCATATTTCAAAATTGTATTTCTTTCGTTGGAAGAAATTGATCTTTGATGACTGCTTTCAGAAAGATCACTAACAGGAAGTTGTTCATTTATCTACAGCAAAGATTAGTAAACAAGTCACGAGATAAGAGAAAGCCTTCCACAAAAAGTAGAAAGGTAAATTTGTTCTGGTTCATTATTGAGAATTTTAGATTAGCAGGTGGAGCAACTTATGACTTCTTTGTTATATTTGAAGGTGGAATGTCAAAAAATTGAGAGGAGGAAGCAGCCATGCAAAGAAAAATGTGAACTTGCTCTGGAAGGAGTGAGATGCCAAGAAGAGCTTGGTCAGTTTGCAATGCTTGTCGATGATGAGGAACTAGAGCTGAGAGAATTACAAGCAGGACCAAATCCATTGACATGCTCCGCTCATTTTGCTACCAATGGATTGCATGGTTGTTCCCTTTGCAAAGGTTAGATTGGGTGTTATGTTCTGCTTTCCCTCATCTTTTTTGTTTGGGAGGATAAATTCTGTAATATTTGAGTGGAATTCTTTAGGGTCCGTTTGGCTAGTAAGAAAAAGATGATGGAAAGTGAAAGAGGTAGAAAGTGAAGTGAAAGAAAAGAAAGTGAAAGAAAATATATTTTCATGCATGTATTTGGTTAGCATGAAAAATTTCTAAAAAAATTTTAAAACAATTTCATTCCATTGTTTGAAAAAAAAGAAAGTTATAAGAAAATTTTTGTAATTGTCTAAATTATTCTTAAATATTTTAACTCGGTCTAAAGAAGAAAAACATATTTTTTATTATTCAAATTAAAAAAAAATTGACTCCTAACTTAATTTAAGAATAAAGATCGACTCAAAAGTTAATCTCTGGACCAAATTATATGATTAGCCTTATTTGTACACATTTTTTTAAAATTAATAACTAATTGAATATTTTAAGAAAAATAAGGGTAAAATGGGAAGTTAAGTTATTAAATACAACTTTCTTTCTTTTTCTTGTGTTTTTTGCAAGAAAAAAAAGTTAGTTAGATGTGAGAAAATCTAAACATGTGAGAAAATTATTTTTTCTATCATTTTCTATTTCATGCTAAATAAACGCATGTAAAATTTTAAAATTTTTTCTTTCTTGTAATTTCTAACATTTTCTTGCTAAACAAACAAGACCCTTAGTTAAAAATTGATAATGGAATCTATGCATATGTTTGCTAGAGGTCATCATAACAAGATTTTTTTGGGTAATTTTGTAGATTTGCTAGCCAAGTTTCCTCCAAATTCTGTGACGATGAAGCAACCATTGTGTATGCAACCATGGGATTCCTCTCCTGAGCTTGCTAAGAAACTTTTTAAGGTATGTAGAGAAGATCATTCTCTTTTGACTGGTATAGTACTCCAACAAGATACATAATTCATTATAGATAAGTAATTATAACAAATTGTCATTTTATTGTATAGTGACCCTCTGAATTCTGCGTTAGAGATCACTCATGCTGTGAGCTTCATGCTTAAGAAGAAAGTTTGTCATGCTTTTTGTTTGTCTTGCTAATTTCCCTCACAATTTCCCTCTATATTGACCCTTTATGGTGAAATGCTCATCAGATAGGCTTTTATCGGTTCTCTTGATTTTAGTAATCTCTTTGTTTTGGGTTTCGTTTTGCATTATTTTTTTGATAAGAAACAAGACTTTCATTAATAATGAAATATAGAGTAAAAGTGGACAAAGAAGTCCACCCTACCATATAGAAGATTACATTATAAAGAGATAAGAACAATATGTGGTTCTATAATTCAAATGAATTATTCATCTAGCTACACGCTGCCGTCCAATCAATTGTAAGAGAGAAGAACGGCACATTCTTGAATTCTTTAGCAGTCGATGCCCATAAAGAGGACAAAAACTTAACTCTCTCCCAAAGGAACTCCCCAATTTCCTCTTTATCTTCAAATATTCTCTTATTCCTCTCCAACCATACCACCCAAAAGATTGCCATAACCATACACTCCCATAAAATAGAGTCTCTTCTCCCCTTCTCAAACACACTTCTATTTGTTTCAAACAATGATACACATTCTTTTGGAGTGACCCAATTCAAATTAAATTCACTATGAGCTCTAAACCACAACCATAAAGTAACTGGATAATGTAGAAAGAGATGATCCCTATCTTCACTAGTACACTTACACATAATGCACCATTATGGGGCAAGACAACAATTTTGTCTTCTCCTTAGCAACAAATCGCAAGTGTTAATCTTTCCATTAGCTGCAGTTTAAGCAAAAATATGCACTTTTACTGACATGTTGACCTTCCAAATTATCTGGTCTAAACAAAGGAGTGGATTGGTTGTCAATCAAATTATAGAAGTACAATTTGCAAGAAAAGGCCCTAGATGAATCAAAAATCCAAGTTCTTTTATCCCCAACCTTTGAATTTAAGGAAACTGATTAAAGTAGATTTGGAAACTACCTCCCACCTAACTAGATGGTCTTTTTTCCTTTCCTCACTTCTTTCCCACAAAAAATCTCTCATCAATTTTTCAATTCTACAAACAATCTTTCTAGGAATCTTAAAAAGAGACAAAAAATAAATAGGGATACTAGACAAAACTAATTGAACTAATGTGAGTCTCCTTCCCTTTGACAAACATGCCTTTTTCCACCCCTCTAATATCTTTTTGACTCTCTCAATGATCGGGTTTCAAAAACTTACCAATATAGGATTTCCCCCAGTGGTAGCCCCAAGTACTTCAGGGGCCATTCCCCAATCTCGCATCCTACATTATTTGCAATCCTATCTAGCCTCTCTTTTTCGATGTTTATTCCTCCAATTTAATGCTTAGACATATTCACTTTTAGACCCGACATCACTCTAATGACTTCAATAACCTCTATTACATTCTTAAATTTTTTCTCATCTTCAGACACAAAAATATAGTATCATCCACGAACTGTGAATGTGACACCTCCACCAAATCCCTCCCTACCAGGAATGCCACTATAAGGTTATAATCTCTAGCCCTATGTACTAACTTACTAAAGTCCATCTGCTAATAAAGAAAAGAGAAAAGGTGACAATGGATTCCCTTGCTTATGACCCCTAGTGATATTAAATCTCCCACGTGGCTTTCCATCAAGAATCATTGAAAAATTCAGTGACTCAAAACACCCTATACTCCACTTCTTCTATCTACATCCAAAACCCTTAGCTTCTAAAATAAAGCCCAGAAACTCCCAATGCACATGGTCATATATGCTTTTTCAAAATCAATCTTTAAAACCACACAGTTTTTCCTATTTGTTTTATATTTCTTCGTAACTTCATTCACAACTAGAACTATATTAGGAATTTGCATCCCTTTAACAAAAGTCCCTTGATATCTAGAAATAGTATCCCCCAAAACCTCTCTCAATCTTCTTGATAAAACTTTTGCTAATATCTTGTAAAGACTAGTCACTAAGCTTTTTGGTCTAAAGGCACTTTTCAAAGAATCATGCTTTTTTGAAATCAAACAAATGTATGTCGCATTCGTATTAACATTCACCACCCCATTTCTAAAGAACTCCAAGAATACCCTAATCATTTCATCCTTAATGATCTCCCAACAATCTTGAAAAACTGCCATTGAGAAACCATCCGACTTAGGTGACTTCTCTCTATTACACTAAAAAATTGCCTCCTTCACGTTGCCCTCTTCAATAGTCTTTCCAACATGCTCTCTCTCCACTAATTGGACTCCAATCGAAACCCATCACCCTTGGTATCTCAACTCCATCATCCGAATTTAACTTTAAAAAAAACCTAATAATCTCTTCTTCATTTCTCCCTTCATTCTCTAATGCTATACCATCTCCCACATCCAACATTAAAATAAGATTTTTCTTTCTCCTCCATTTTGCAACCCTATGAAACAACTTAGAATTATTATCTCCCCCTTTAACCCACTTTGTTTTGGCCTTTTTTCTCCTTGAAATCTCTTCCTTAAACATCACTTCCTCAAATCTATTTCTAAGTATACTTCTTTTATTTCCTTCGTTAATTCCTCACTTCCCCCCCCCCCAAAAAAAAAAAAAAAAAAAAAAAAAAGCACACACACAACACTTACAGAAAAAACAAGAGGAGGAGGAGAAGGAACTAAAAACCCACACCCAATGTCCCTCATTCCACCCCCAGATTTCCCCCCAACATTTACCATATTATTGAGTTCCTCCACTTAAGATGATTCTTCGGGCCTAAATGTCCCACGGTGACTGCTGAACTGTATCTCATAGTCAGGTCTAATCTGCTTTTTACATCGCCTCAGGATCAATACCCATTCCATCGAAGAGCTTCTCTACGCCATAAATAGACTCAGCGACTATAAAGCCCATTTCCTAGCTCTCCAAGTCCTCACCATCAGGGTCATCAGCTGGCTCTCTAAGATCAGAGTAGATATCCTCTCCGAATCGCACTTCATCCACCTTGAAACATGCATCATCAATATCTCCTCCCCTTTCATTACTTAGAATTAATGCTTCCTCATCTTCCAAGTCTGTTCTTCCTTCTACACTTCCGGATTGTTGACTTGCTTCCACTCCCTTTTGTTCTTTTGGTTGTTCTATCTGAATAGTCCCATCTCCACTGCCTTTGCTTCCTTTGTGAGCAGTAGGCTTAGCCGAAGCCTTCTGCCCATTTGAATCATCCAGAACAGATGAGGCGTGTCAAACAGACAAAGCCCTAACCCCTTCTCCATTCGTCTTAGGGTAACTCTTCTTCGGATTTCCTTTCGGATCGACCTGGACCAGGCTGGACCCCTTAGGCCCACTATGCAGCACTCCTTTTTTTAAAACTTCACAATCAATTGGCTTAATTTAGGAAGCCCAGACTTACAACCCACAGAAACACCAGGCCCTTTATCATTTGAATATTTTTTCACGTCTTTAACCAAGCCCAAATCATCTAACTGAACCTGTCCCACTTTTTCCATGTAGTTATTGCCAGTAACCACTTCTAAATTATCTTTCTTGTAAAAAGTGGCTGATTTAAAATTTGAAATCGTGATTAATGGACCATTATTAGGGGCTTTGTCCTCATTAATTGGAATTTTGGCTTTATTAAGCTTAGGCAGTGATTAGGCTTATAGTGATTTTAAGAATTCTTTTAGATTGTTTTATTGTTTTCTTTGTGGGATTCAAATGCAGAAGTGTTGTATGCCCTTAGATAAGATTTTTGCGCTCTTATGTTATCTTGCTGAGTCTAGGCTGACTTGACTGGACAGGTTTTTCATTTCCTTTATACTTATGCTGTAAAGGTTGATATATATTCCTTTTCCCTTGATGAGTTTGCTCGAGCATTTCTTGACAAGGTTAGTTGTTCTTGCTAATCGGAAATTACTTTTTGTTAGGATTCTACTTGGCAAGCTCAATTTAATAGCTTTTTGCTGCAGTTTTGTCTGGCTGAACTGTGATTGAAATCTCATGATTTTGTATTCTTTTACCTGTGGCTTTTAGGATTCATTACTACTTGGAAAAGTTCATGTGGCCCTTCTCAAACTTCTTTTGTCTGATGTTGAAATGGAGCTCAGTAATGGATTCTCTCCTCATGCGAGAAAAAATTGCAGGTTTCTTGAGTTACTTCACTCGGTAAGTAAGAAGGCGCCAAAATTATTAATAAATATGTGGGTGACTGTGCTACATTTTGTACTTATGGTTCTTCTCAATGAACTGCAGTTTTTTTCCCTGAAGAGCATATTTGTTAAGCATCCTAGTCTTAAGAAGCAACCATGTTTTTGTCTATGCTTAATATTTTTGCCAAACACGTTTATTGATTTTGTGTCAGCAATTAAATGTTTCATCAGTGAATAGATTTGTTTACGCATGCCTGTAGAAGTTTCCTCGTAGTTTTCCATTAGTGGGAGCTAAACTGGGTGTTATTTTTGGCATGCGGCAGTTTTCTCACCGATGTTCCTTTAAGGGAGAAAAAAGAAAGGCCCCAATATTTGTATTCACGCCGCATCAGATATAAGCAAATAAAACCTTATATCACAATGTGAAAGGATTGATTCAAGGAAATGAAATAACTGAAAGAAAATATGCTAAAGTATCTAAACCTAAGTCAAGGTAATTATGGAGGGAGGGATGGGAGGGGGGAGAGAGGCATAGGGAGCTATCAATTGTGTTATTCTGATGCTTTTTGGTTTTACATCTTTATTTCGTGCAATGAAGCCTCAAGATTACAAGCTTCAAAGTGCTTCGGGGATTGAAGAATTTAAGAACCTTCTTGTTGTCTTATATTCCTTTCTTGCCGCAAATGCATTCCCACTTACTTTAGCATGTGTTGCCTTGTGTGGCTTGTTTGAAAAGAGTTGTTTGGAATAACCGAATGGGATAGGATTGGATACACCGTAAACATAAATGTAATTTTGTTTCCATTCAGTTAAAACTTTCTTAATGGTAGTTGATGATACCCAAAAAAAAAAAAAATGCAGCTCATACCTGAAACAAGTCAGCAAGGCAGCACAAAGCGGTGCTGATCTATTTGAAGCCAGGCTGACTTGACCCTTAAGGATCCAGGTTGGCCAAGGACACAGAACAACACGACAATCACTAGAAAGGGTAGGAAAGGGTTTTCACTAACTAACCCAACCTTGGACAAGAAGTCACCACCACAAGAACGTCACATCATATCTTCTAGAATGCCACATTATAGCTTCTAGAATGCCACATCACACCTAAGGAGGAGAGCCTCTAACAACCAAATATTCTCCCAAATATTCTAACAGATTGTGAGGACTACACTACCCTTGTGTATAAATAGGTAAGACAGTCATTGCCTTGCCATAGCACCAGACACGTGTAATTGATTACATCAAGTATAACTTTCTTTTTCTTCAAGCAATACAAATTCAATGGAGCAAGAGCCTCCATTATCGTGGACTAGTCAAGTGGACTAGCTGAGCTCTTTAGCTTGATGAACCACTTATTTTCTTGTGTACTTGTCTCTCCTTCTCTTGTTCACACACACAACTCATATACTTCAGACAGAGCTCGCTCAACTCTTTAGACTCTTTGGACATTGTCTTTAATATTTGAAGTCTTTTGTCGTGTGGTTTCAGTTGCTTGCATTATGGTTTGGAACTCTTATCAACAATATATAATAAATATTAATCAAATATGTGGATGTGTAATTACGTATTATTTCTTATAATAATGAAATCGATTTGTATAATAGTTACAAAGCAAGAAGCGACCCAAAAAATGATACCAAGTCTACCCCAATTGCACACCATATTGGAAAAATCGAATTAAGATCTAGGTAGGATTGTTAGAGAATGGGGTAAAATCGCAGTGCTGGTATATAATGAAGGAAACAACTTTCATAATGAGGTGGAAGATGAATTTGATGTGTTGGAGGAGATCAAACAGAAATTGCGACTCAAATCTGTATTCAATGGCTTCGATGAAGACAATATACCTTCTTTGGTTTTTGACTGGAGTATCCAAGGACATGACTGTTCAACTGGTACCTATGAAAGTGAAGATTATGCTACGAAAAAGAATCTAAAGGGCTTGAATCAGATTATCAGGTTAGGGATTTCTTTGATAGAGCGGAAAAATGGGCAAGGTCAATAAAATGGTGGTACGAGTTGGAGTTTCTCCTTCAGAGACTAAGCAACAGGTAAGTTTTCCTTTTGCACAACAGTTTAATTCTTTTTCTTGCATTTAGAAGTGTCATGGAAGCCATATCCAGTCAGGAGAGTTCGGTTATGTTTCTAATTTGAGATGTGAGTCTATTCATTCAGTTTATCCGGTTCTTGAGGAGGAAAGAGCTTTTGTAGTGGTCTTAGGTTAAAAGCAGCATGGAAGCCATGAGTTAGGTTTTAGATTGAGGTGTGAGCCTATTCATTCAATTTGTCCTTTTCTCGAGGGGAAAAGTTCTTTTGTAGTGGTCTTAGGTGGTTAGGTGGGGAGTTACTCGTCTTTTCCTCATCTTTAATGTGCGTCCATGTAATGCATTGATGTGTATTGAGAATGAAGGTACCACTGGAAATTTTGTTTCTAGGGACCTTATAACTCTACTGATTGATGCTAGTGAGTGTCATCAACAGGAAATGCTTCAGTTTATTCTAGAAGTATAGAAGGAGTGTGATGAGAACAATAATGGAGATTATAGGTTTTTCTTGTATGATGTTGAAAAATGGTCCATTTTAAAAAAAATCTTGGACAAAATGGAATTATCTCTAGTTCACAAAAAAAGAAAAGGCAAGAAGAATCAAGGGATGAGGGAACTTAGAAATTTACAGTCTGGTTTAACTATGATAGTGTTGTAGCTAGGAGGTGTAATGATTGTGATTGAGTTTTGACATGAAGATAATTAGTTGGAGCGTGAGGGGTTTGGGTTTTGGCCAAAAAAAGTATTTATATCAAGGACTTGTTTTTGAGAGAAGGATTGGATATGGTCATTTGCAAGAGTCAATGAAAAAGATTGAAAGAAAATTGGTGAAAAGAATGTGGGATTCAAGATATAGGAATTGGGTCTGTTTACCTTCTATTGGCAAAGTAGGTGGCATAGTGATATTTGGGGTGAGAGGACAAGGTGGAGGAATCAGTGGATGGTGAGTTTACATATTTGGTAAGGATTAAGTCTAATGAAGGATTGAAATAGTGGTTAATTGGAGTCTATGGTCCAAATTGTCCTAGTGTGAGAAGTAGATTGTGAGAAGAATTGACAGGTTTGTATGGTCTTTGTAATCCCCGATAGCGTGTTGGTGTAGACTTTAATGTCATGAAGTATCTTTTTGAAATATTGAATGGAAGATGGATAACCAAGAGTATGAAAGACTTTGATTTATTCATCAGGGAAACTAGGCTTAAGGATCCTCCATTAGGTAATGGGATTTTTGCTTGGTCTAATTTTGGAGAAAATCCTTGTTGTAATAGATTGGATAAGTTTATTTTCTTTGTGGAGTGGGAGATATTTTTCGAAGTTGAGACATGAGATACTTTCGAGAGTTGGGTCAAGATCATTGCTCAATTTTTCTTGATTTTGATACTCTTAAGTAGAGTCCTTGTTCTTTTAGGTTTGAGAACATGTGGTTTGAATACCATGAGTTTAAAGGAAAATTTAACAATTGGTGGGGGGAAGTAGGTGTTCAGGGGTGGAAATGATTTAAATTAAAGGAAAAATTGGAGCATGCGCATCAGGATGTGAAGAGGTGGAATAAGGAATTGTTTGGAGATATAAGACCCACCAAAAGTTTGATTACTAGTAGAATTGGAGAAGTTGACAAGATTGAAGAGAGTGGAGGATTAAATGAGAATTTGATGAGAGAAAGATGGGATCTTAGAAATAGGTATGTGGGGGTAGTGTTCAAGGAAGAAATTAGTTGGGGGCAAAATGTTAGAGTAAAATGGATAAAATGAGATAATAATTCAAGACTTTTTCATCGGATGGCTAATGGTAGGAAAAAAAAGAAATTAATTGACAAGATAAAATTAGAAGATGGGGTTATTGTCGAAGAGTAAGATTGTGAAATTCTTTGCCCATCTATATTCATCTCACGAGAAGGGTAGACCCTGGTTAGAAAGTTTGGAGTGGAGTCCTATAGATGAGAGCAAATCTAAATGGTTGGAGAGACTTTTTTGAGAAAGGAGAAATGAGACATGCCATTTTTAAGTGTAGTAGAGAGAGAATCTTGGGTCCTGATGGATTTACTTTGGCTGTTTATCAAGGCTCTTGTGATGTAGTTAAGGGGAATTTAATGAGAGTTTTTAATGACTTTTTCCAAAGTGGAGTGGTCAATTTTATTACTAACTCTACTTTAATTTGTTCGATCCCTAAAAAAGATAAGTCCATGATGGTGAAGTACTTTAGACTGATAAGCTTGGTTTGTGGTCTGAATAAAATTATTGCAAAAGTGTTTATCTTTGAGATTAAGAGAGACTCTTAGTGATATTATTTCTGAGTGTCAAGGTGTCTTTGTTAAGGATATACAAATTCTAGATGGTTTTCTAGTAGCTAATGAGGCTGTGGAAGATTATAGAACTGGAGGTGAAGATGGTTTTGTCCTTAAAATTGACTTTGAAAAGACCTATGATTATGTGGATTAAGATTTTTTGGACTTTGTGCTGGAAGTCAAAGGATATGGAGGTCGTTGGAGAAGTTGGATTAAGGTTTGTTTACAATCCATGAACTTCTCTGTTATCATTGTTTAAAATGTTAGGGAAGATTGCATTAAAGTTTGAAAAAATGATGAGGGATTTTTTTCGAGAATGATGTGGTAAAAGGGGGAAGGATCATTTGATTAGTTGGGGGTGGTTTCTAGAACTAAAGAATGGGAAATTTGAAGGCAACAAAATATTGCTTTAGTGGGTAAATGACTTTGGAGGTTTCTCTTATAACAAATTTTTTTTTGGCATTTAGTTATCATGAACAAATATGGATTACAAGCCAATGGATGAGATACGAATATGATCGAAAGGGGAAGTTCCGGAGCCTCTAGAAATTTATTTCTTAGGGGATGATAAGGTTTTCTTAAAATCTTAAGTGTGTTGTGGGTAATGGGGAGAGAGTGCATTTTTGGGAGGATAATTGGGTGGGGGAATCATCTTTCTCATCCATGTTCCCACGACTTTATCAAGTGGCTTCTTTCAATGGGGCATCCATCCCTTCTATGCTTCACTCATATATTCATCCATACTCTTGGGATTTTGAATTCTATAGGAATTTAGATGATAGAATTATCGGGGATATGATATCACTTCTTTCTATTTTTATTGACTCTTTGTTGAATCAAGACTCTCGTGACAAAAGAAAATGGGTTGTTGAGTCTTCGGGCGTCTTTTCTAGTAAATCCTTCTTTACATCCTTGGTGAATGAACTTTCTTCTCCTATCTTTGAACCGACTTTCATGATATGGAAGGCTAAAATGGCTATTAAGGTTCAAAGTTTTTGTATGGATTGTTGCTCATGGTATGATTAATACCAATGATTTGCTTTAAAAGAGAAGGCCTTACTCTTGTCTCCCCCCTCACCCCAATGGTGCGTGATGTGTAAATGTGCTGTAGAAAGCATTGGTCATTATTTTTACATTGCCCTATTGCTTTGTGTAAATGTGCTTTAGAAAGCATTGATCATTTATTTTTACTTTGTCTGTGTGGTACAACTCTTTTGTTTACACTGGCAGGATTGTGTTGGGTGGTTTCTAAGTCGCCTAACTTCCTTGTTTATTGAAGATTTAAAAGGTTTTAGGAGAATAAAGAAAGACATTACTCTTTAGAATTGTGCAATAATGACTACTTTTTGGGTTATATAGAAGGAAAGGAATGTAATAGTTTTTGAAGATAGAATCGAGTGCTAGGAAGGATTGGGGAATTGTATTCATTTTCTAGCATCATTTTGGCCTTTGGCTTCTAAGAACTTCCAAAAAAATCTTGTTTTTGCTATTTTAGCAGGATGGAGATCTTCATGTGATTTATAACTTATAAGGCTCTTATGTGATCTGGTTCTTTTTCTGCTTTATTATTTTCTACTTTTTGGTTGGATTTCTTATCCAACCATTTTTGATGTACTTTTTGATCTTTATTAATACAAGATTTATGTTTCCTTATCAAAAAAAAAAAAAAAAAATTTCTGTGTGTACATTTTGCACTTTATGTTTTTTATTTGTATGCTAGTTATAGATATATTTGGCAAATTTGGAAATATGCTTACTCATAATTTTATGATTTTATCTACTATCGGTTAGTATTGACTCCCTATCCTTTAGTCCCTCTCTCATTTTCTATGTTTTTAATACTCCAATCAGTGTCAGTGGCAGTGTCATTGATGTTAGGATGTGAAAACTGTCTACCCTGTTGAAGAACCTTTTCCCCCCTTCTCTTGTTTTTGATTTGGCAGGTTGAACATCAAGAGTATCTTTTGAAGTTTTGGCAAAAAGCTCTGAACCCCTTGACATGGACAGAAATATTGCATCAAGTGTTGGTTGCTGCTGGTTTTCGTTCAAAACATGGTACATTGCCTAGGGAACCTCCCAACAAGGTATCCACATTCAGACAACTCTGCAATCCTGCTTTCTTAATGTCATGGTGATGTCCCTAGATTTTTGTCACTCTCTGACATGCTTGTGTTGAGAAGAACAAACACTTCTAAAATGGATTATTGCCTATGTTGGACACTAAACTTAGTAGACATTTCTGGTCTTATATTGGCTAGTGCCGATGTTTCCACAATTTCAGCTACTGACCAACAGCCCTTAAACATCGGTGAAACTGTTATCTTTAAATGGGAAGGGAAACATAGGTTCTATAGAAACATCATGTATATTTATTTTTTTCAGAACGTAAACAAATAAATGGGAATAGGCACGGGAAAGTGTGGTTGCAGTGACGACCTGCCGTTAGTATTGTTCCATAGGGGGTTCAAACTCCACACAAGAAGGACAAGCTGTGCAGTTTAAAATAAACCACCAAGACAATGCCAGTTTATAGAGAGAGTGTGTGGTTCGACACTGAAGTCTCAATCCATGGCAATCCAACAAAAGCAGTTCATTAACAGTGTAACAAACCAGTTATGTGGTTTATGTATATCTTCAATTTTGCCTTTCTTTAGCAATGCTATAACCCACCAACCCCAACTTTAGGGGGATGTGTACTTTTACAATGCATTTATCACAAATGCAATCTCTTTTAGTTGAAGCAGTTGAGGTGGGAGGATGAAAGAAGTTAGCATGATTTACATACTCACGAGTGCAGATTGCCACACCGACACATGTGGGCTGCTGTGTCTTATTTTTAAAATTATACCGTGTGACGTGTCAACTTGTCTTTATCGTGCCATGCTCTCTTCCATGCTAAATAGCTCTTTGATGCATTGTGTGTTGGTTAGAGAAGGGATTGAGTGGATGGACTAGAATCTCCTAACATTGCCTACTTGGGACATGTTGTGACAAAAAATTCTAGTTTGGTTTTCTCCCACATTTTCAAATTATGCAACCTTATGTTGTTTTTTTTGGCCAAAAGTTTTCTTCAAGTTTTATGTAGTTATGAGTATCTAAGAATGTCGTTACTTGTGTACTTGGGAATAATGGTGGCCCTAATGGCCCATGATTTTTTGTTGGGTGGTGACCTGCTTTGTGGTAATGGGCTTCTTTATGTTTGACTTTGAGTTGGGTGGCATGAGTTTTTCAGGCCAAAAGTGAACAAGTTTCTAATTTCATAGTCAGACTCAGATAAAAATTGGAGTAAAAGTGCAAAGACAAATGAAAGCAGCAGCATTCTGCAACTGTAATGCGTGGCTTCCTTTTAAAAGGGCTCGCTGAAATGAATTTTCTAACTGCTGTGTGAGGTCTTGAAGGAGTTTACACACACACACACACAAAAAAAAAAAACACTCACACTCATGTAACAGCAGGAAGTTTTGGACTGTTGTTGACTGACATTAGGCCATAAATTATTTGAGTTGATAGGGCTTTGTTGGGTGTCCCCGAGATCTATTTATTTCATGTTTTGTGTGGATTTTAAAGGATTAGGTGGATGTGGGAAAGGTGTGGTACTATGGAATTGCGCTTTATGTGCCATTGTGTGGGTTGTATGGATGGAAAAGAATGCGAGAATATTTGAAAATAAGATAGAAGTGTTGGAAGGGCTATGGGAAGGGACTTATTGTTTAGCTTCCTTTTGGGCCTAGAGACATAGGAGTTTGAGAATGCCCCTCTTTTTTGTATTATTTCGAGATGGACAACAACTTGCAGAAGTTAACAGTTGGTTTTGGGAAGTGCTTGTGATGTATTTTTTTAGTTATAGGTTAATCCTTTGTCTGTCAGTTGGATTGTACTTCTTGTCCAATTTATTTTTGGATGATTGTAATACTTCGCTATGTTTATTAATAACATGTTTGTTTCTTATCAAAAAGAAAAAGAAAAAAGTTGTGTATTGGACAGATCAAATTGGCATTGGAAAAGCTGGACAAAACTCTTCAATTGATACTTAAGCTTTTGGAAGATAAATGTATATGCGATGCTTTAGAACCTCTATATAGTATTTAGCTTCAATTTTTTTGTTGTGTTAACAACTCACTGAAACACTCATATGAAGATTTTTAAGCGGTTAATGTCCTCTTGCAGAAATGTAACTGAAAGTCTTTAAGGCAATTCAATTAGTTAGATTGGGCTAGAATTCCTGAGATGATATGCAATTTTTCGAAGGAAAATAATTTTTTGATTTGTTACATCCTTATTTTGTAACTGATACAAAAACACCCTTGTGTTGTTAGTGCTTCGACCAGCACTTCAGTTTGCCTGTTTCAGTTGTTTGTCAGTGGAACATTGCTCTCACCCGGTCTATAATATTTAGGCTGCTGCAACTTGTAAACATTTAGCTATCTGAATTTTTGCATGACATGTTTTCAGACATGTTCATGTGCTAGTTTGGGCTTTTCCACAATGTTCTGCCTATTGTCATATGGTTGCCAACTGTTCTGGTATATGAAATAGGAATGGTCAGTGTTATTTAAGGAGTAAAGCGAACCGAAGCGACCAAAGCTCCTAACGCCTAAGCGAGAAGCGAGAAGAGAAGCGAAACGAAACGAACCGAAGTTAAAAAAAAAAAAAAATAAATATTTTAGTTTAATTACTTATACACATCTAAGTTCTAATTTTATATATACTAAATATTTAAATGCAAGTAAAACCATAAACATTTAAATTAAAACAAACACTAATAATATCTCAAATCTTAATAACAGTCATAGCTTAAATATTTAAATTTAAACAAACACTAATAATATCCCAAATCTTAATATTTAAAAACATAAGACACACAATTCAAACAACTAAAGAAACTATCTTAAAAGACTTAGAAATCAATCCAGCGAGCAACAAGTTGTGCTTAAAAAAAAAAGTAATATTGTTCACATTCACATGACTTTTGTGTGGGATTTTCATATGGACTAGACAACAATACAAGGAAAAAAAGAAATGTTGTTCGGAGCATTGCTTATTAGAAAAAAAAAAAAATGTGATCAGAAAAATTAAAAAAAAAAAAAAGCATTGGTAAGGAAGGAGCAAAAGACAGAACATGTGATCAGAAAAAAAAAAATAGCAGAATTGGTGAGGAAGGAGACTAACAGACAGAAGAAAAAAAGAGAAGAAGAAGAGAGAAGAAGACTATCCTGTCTATCTGGTTGGAGCAGCGAGCAACGAGTTTCTGTTGATTGATCGAGTCCAGCAAGCAGCGACAGAGGCTCTGTCGATCGATCGAGTCCAGAGAGCCTCTGTTGATTGAGTTCAACGAGCAACGAGCTTCTGTGTAGCAGCGAACAACGAGCTTCTGTGTAGTTCTCCTCATGAGCAACGAGTAGCTAAGGGCATAAATTAGGGGATAAATTAGGGTTTGTGGTTTTATTTATTAGATAAGGGGATAATTCAGTGTATCTCATCTTATAATTTTTTTTTTCAATCGTCCAATCCAACGGTTCAAATTAAAAATCAAACATTTTTCGCTTTTTATAATAAAGCGAATGCTTTTTCGCTTTTTTCATTTTTTCTCGCTTCGCTCACGTTTGCTTCGCCTGGGGTCCTTCAGGTAAGATATGCTCACCTCGCCTCACTTCTCGCCTAGGCGAGTTTTTCACAACACTGGTTATGCGGAGTGGCACGTGTTTAAGAATCTGATATGATGGGTTTGTTAGCATATGTAGATCATAGAGTTTGATGGTATAAATGATTCTAATTGCAAGATTGGGTGGATGAGTAATGAGAATTAAAATTTTTTTATTAGCATAATTGGAATTAAAATGCACAAGATGTCAGATCCTTATTGCTGTTTATCTGGCAAAAAACATGGATTTTGAACTTAATGCATGCTGTTTAAGTTGAGCCCTTTGATCTGCTGTGATCTTCCCTTTTACTCTCTCTTAAAAAATTGCCATTATGGTAATTTTTAAGTTGTTATTCTTGATGCTAGAGACACATTGCAAGAAAGCCAAATGGAAGAATTTAGGAATAGTTTATTTCTGGGGGATCTCTAGTTTGACTGTTTTTGAACAGAAAGCATTCCATATATACTTGGAACTTGCCTCTTACTGCCAAAACACAAACAAGAAGATGTATTAGTTGCTTCCATATGACTATCCACACGTGAACACAAAGCAATGATTTGTGTCCCTAAAGGAACGTTTAAAGAACACAACATGGCCATGTCTTGTTGTTTGGACTCAAAGGTATGGAAATCAATTACCAATGTTATTTCTCCTGGGTTGTGGCGCTTGAGTTAATGTCTAGGTTTGAGCATTTGAAACCTCCTCAAGCAATAAAAAGTCAAGAGCAGCCTGTAAATTGGTGGAAACTGTCTAAATGCTATTTAGTAGGTTAGAAGAGTGGGTGAAATGCAAAATTGCAACTGAACCTCAATACTGACTAAATATTACTTTTGGTCAACTTTTGCAAATCACCGGTTGGTTTAAACTTGAAAATTGATACTTTTGTCAGGGTTATAATGATTTGTGTATGTCTTAGGATGTTTTTGATGTAAGGAGTTATTTTGGAAAGAGAGACAATGCCTTCAGAGTTCAGGATATGATGCTACTATATCTTTACTATTTCTGTTTCGTTACATCTGCAAGTGTTTGTTGTGCTCTATCTGGATTTGCCTCTATGCATGTATGTGAGAATGTGGCTTTGCATGTTGTTTGATATGGCAAAAAGTGGTTCAACTATAGGAAATCAGATAAAAAGAGCTTGGAATCATAGATCAATTAAGATCATTATAGCGTCTTTCATATTCTGATTAACTGGTTTCTTTTGTTTTCACACAAAGGTTTTGCTTGTCCTTATTTGATAGGAATTCGACCTTATGGCGAAGTATGGCTTAAGCCCTGGTACGTTGAAGGGTGAATTGTTCAGTATTTTGTTACTGCAAGGAAATAATGGGTTGAAAGTTTCTGAGTTGGCAGTGTCTTTCTCGGTGAGTTAATATAGATTCTTTTTGGGAAAGAGAAGGATATATGATTACACTATTAGTATCATCATCATCATCATCCTTGTCTCATCAATTTAATTTTATCAATTATTGACATTTTAACTACTTTGGCTGTGGATGCTTGCTTTGTGTAGATTGCCCAATTGAATCTTGCATCTCAAACCCATGAGTTGGAACTATTAATAAGCTCGACGCTTTCGAGTGATGTTACGTTATTTGAAAGGATATCATCTTCTGCATATCGGCTTCGTATTAATTCTGTGACAAAAGAATCTGAGAATTTTCAATCGGACTCCGAAGACTTTGGAAGTGTTGATGATGATTCCAAGGACGGTGACGGATGCAGCAATGCTGGTGATTCTGATAATGATTCAGGGACTCTCGATCCTAATAAACTTGAGCAAAAGAACTGCCTTGAAAATAGTAATAACATGTTGACAGTTTACAACGAAATAGATGAAAGCCATCCGGGAGAAGCATGGTTGTTGGGACTTATGGAAAGTGAATATTCAGATTTAAGCATTGAAGAGAAGCTGGAAGCCTTGGTGGCTTTGCTTGAACTTCTTAGTGATGGGGCCAGTATCAGAATGGAGGTAATCCATCTCATTGTTATCTGGTACATCTCTTGAATGCTTTATTTATTTTTCCTTTTCTTTCCTTTTTTTTTTTTGGTGAATCAGGCTTCTTAAAGGTTAAAGGCACTGCCCTTACTAATATTACTTTAACTACCGTTGTTGACTGCCTAATTTTTCTTGCTTTGTCTTATCATCATTTTTAATTGCCTGTCCAGTGTCTGATGTCTTGTACTGTGAAGCAAGGTTTTTTTGAAGTCTGAACATATTTTCTGAAAATTCAGGTTCTAGAGGGAGCAAAATGTACCTTTGATGTTATTCGTTGCTTTTAAACTTTCACTTTCATGAATTTATTTGAGTTTCAGATTGAGTGAAGTGAGATGTTGCAATAGTCCGTACTTTATTAGGGTAGAAATTTCCATTTTGGCAGTCAAAACAGTGTGTGTGTCCTTTTCTAATCAAACAGGTCTTTCAGTGTATGAAAAATGTCTACAGGAGTTCAGTGGTTACTTCTTAGTCTTGTCCATGGGTGTTTATTAGGTCATTAGACTCATTACATTTTACAGTTAACATGAAAGTGATATTGTGGTTATTTTTTTGACTACTAACACTAATATTATTCAGATATTCTGTACTAGGAAATTCTATTGCTGGAAATTTCTTATTTTAAAGAATTTTTGTTCTTCCAATCCTCTAATTTTCTGTAAGCAATATTCATTTTTTCTGATACTTTAATATCTCATGATTTTCTGTTTTCTTTCATTCCCAACTGGTGCTTGTTTGGGCGTTGGCATTGAAATGAAGAGTATTGAGATTGGACTAGAAGAGCTTAATTGATGGAAATTTGTAGCCTCGACATTAGTTTGATTTTCAGAGTGTATTACTACATCAGGAGAGGGGGTACTGGAGTTCTAATTGCAAAATAATGAAATTTTCCTTTACATCTATTAAACCATGGTTTCAATGGATATAGAGAATTACCCATCAAATTTTTTATAACATTGCATAACAAGTCCCTTCATCATGAAAATTTGGGTGTCTCTACAGTACAGATTTTAAGTGCAACATTGTGAGGGGATGAGGGAATAAGATGCGAAAGAGAAGAGAATAAACAAACTTGTGGCTGCTACAACATCAGATTGACCCCTCTCTGTGGGTGGTGCATATGGGGGACTCATGCTAAACCCTAAATTGGTTAACTTATAGCAGTGAAAATTAAAGGTTTCATTTTAACAGACAGCTTGCAGGGTAGTTGCCTTTGGGTTGGGTGGGGCTGATGGATGGCGCAAGTATAATAAGACCGTTGGATTTTTCCACGAATATCCTAGTTTTTTTGTAGGATGGTTTCATTTATTTTGTTGGTTCGCCTTTCTTGCACAAAGAGGATTTGATAAATTATGAGGGGCTATGGGATTAGATTTTGCTATTTGAGACAACACGGTCAACGTACTCTTTTTTGGTGTCTGCAAAAAACTGGTGGTTATTCAAGAATTAATTTATGATGCCATAGTACAATAGGGGAAACAATGAGATGTACTTGTTGTTTTTTCAAAATCGAAATTTTGAGATATAGAAACTGCATTTTGTTTTAGAAAAACCTCAGAAAGTGGAAAAAGATAGGAAACAGTTGTTGAGAATTATGTTATGGTTCCTTTGTAGCTATAAATTATGTTCCAGTCATGTTTGGCTCCAAATATGCTCCAGTATGTAGTTCTGCAGATTTACAACATGTGGATACATTGACCAGTGCAATGAATTTCTATACAGGAGCCGATACTGTCTGCTTCAGAATGCGTCTCTAACATCAATCATCATGGTTCTGGAGCAAAAATAAAGAGATCAACAGCAAAGCAGCCCATACAACTTGGAAGCTACTCCAGACAAATCCTTGGTAATTCAGAAGTAAATACAATGTCAGTGATTCACCCTGTTGATTCTTTAGCATCTCTGTCAAACGACTGTGGGAAGAAGAAGATCTCCAGCAAAAGAAAGGATGGAAAAGAGAGAGAAGTTGAGGGCGAATTACATCCTATGCAATCTATCTTTTTGGGTTCTGATCGTAGGTACAATAGATACTGGCTTTTCTTGGGCCCTTGTAATGCGAATGATCCCGGTCACAAGAGGATCTATTTTGAATCTTCTGAAGATGGTCACTGGGAGGTGATAGATACTGAAGAGGTACCTTTGCTTTTCTCACTCTTCCTCTTCAATATGATACAAGGTGATTATCATTTTATGCTGTGAATTTAACTATCTATCTCTGGGAATGTGTCCTTAATTTGTTAGCAGGCTATGTGCACCTTGTTGTCAGCTCTGGATCGTAGGGGTGCAAGAGAGGCTTTCCTTCTAGCATCTCTGGAGAAAAGAGAAGCGTCTCTTTGCCGAGCGATGTCCAGTATGCTGAATGACACTGGAATTAGGCTGTTGACACAATCTGATCAATCTGAACTGAATATGTCTAGAGAAGACAGTTCATCAGCCGTGTCAGATGTTGATAACAACCTATTTGTGGTTGAGATACAAAATAATATTCCAGTTTCCTCTGCTGCCGTAGTTCCTGAACCTGCAAAGAAAGGAGAACAGCAAAAAGAAAAATGGGTTCGTCTCCAAGCATTTGATGCGTGGCTGTGGAATTCTTTTTATTCTGAGCTTAACGCTGTTAAACATAGCAGAGGGTCATATCTTGAATCACTTGCTAGATGTCAGCGTTGTCATGATCTATATTGGAGAGATGAGAAGCACTGTAAGATTTGCCACACCACATTTGAGCTTGATTTTAATTTAGAAGAAATATATGCCATTCATATTGCTACATGTCAAGAGAGTACAGACACTGATAAGTTTCCGAAGCATAAAGTCCTATCATCACAGTTGCAATCGCTCAAAGCTGCAGTTTATGCAATTGAGGTGCGCTGCTATTCAGATGATGCTTTATATTTACTGCTGTGCCACACCATACCTGCACACGTACACATACATGCAACACATTTGCTTTGTTGTCTGCTTACAGATCTATGCATTGAACGTGACATTTTTTATCATGTTTGAAAAGATTCGAACTTTTGTTGTTGACCTTCACTCTGGAAAACAGACTCACTAGAGGATTACAATGGCTTTATCTTGGCATTTCTTTTGCTTACATTGTTGCAGTAAGTCTGGGAGATCTCCACCCAACAAATGGTTCTTGTTGGACTGATCTTGACCGAAGTATTTACTAGGTTTTTCAGGCAGGCTGTAAAACTTATGATCTTGTATGACATTGGGAGTGCGAAGATCATCTGTGCATCTACTGTATATTTGTTTCTCTCCTTATGCATGTAGTGTATTTTATTATTGGAAATTGGTTTTTGTTGGCAAAACTTTTGTGAATAGAAAATGTTGACATGGACTATTGAACAGTTTAGGTTTATGTGATATATTATAATACCGTGTAACTGTATATGATGTTATGCTCAGAGTGAAAAATAAGTAATAGGTAAACTGGTTGCCTCAGTAATACCCAAAAACGAGCATTTTCTTGATAGACCATTTGATTAGCTGGATGCTGAAAAGTAATCAGATGATTAACATGTACTTATCATTGTTTAGTAGGATGCTTATACCTAAACAGTTGAAGATTTTGTTTGAGTGAAAATGTGAAGACAGGTTTTCTGGGAGTGTGAGAAATGATAAAAATTCACTTTCTAAAAATATTATAATAGGTGACAATTTGGTCTTTTCTCCGCTATCCTCATTCTCCCTTTCTTTTTCCCCTTCCTTCTCTTGTATTTCGAATGGAAACACGGCAGTAAAGGTGGGGTTAGGGGGCAGTAATTTCTAGTCTCGTAGCATGAGTATTAAAAGGTAGAACACAAAAGAATTTTGATTGAACAAAGGCAGTTATGAAACAAGATGTTTGCTGTATAGAAACGATTGGATACCTGATAATGGAATTGAGAATGTGCTCCCCAGTAATATGTTAAAATATGTTTTGTGTAGCCGATCCCACAATTTCAAGTCACGGAGTGCACAAAACATAAGTTATATGATTTACAACTGAATAGTTCAACATTTGATGTGGTCTTTAGTTTCATCATGTTATAAATGTGTATATTATTAGTTACTTTGGATTAATGTTCTCTTCGAAATACTTTTTGGGCAGTCAATTATGCCTGAAGATGCCTTGGTGGGTGCTTGGAGAAAGTACGCTCATAATCTGTGGGTAAAACGATTAAGACGGACCTCAACTTTGGTGGAGTTTTTACGGGTACCAACTCTCATGTCTGTCAACATCTTTTTGTGGTTGTAATGTTTAGCTTCTGAAATTAGCATCTACCTTTTATTCATGTAATTAGGGTCTTTCAGACTAGTCCTCAACATTGTAATCCTCTAAATTGGGAGTTATGTTAATTTATATTGTAATCTATAAACAATGTAACTTATTTGTTGTGTGTTTTAGGTTCTTGCTGATTTTGTCAATGCCATCAATGAGGACTGGTTATATGAATGCAACATTGCTCTGGGTAATAATTCTGTCTTGGAAGAAATCATTGCAAATTTTCCAACCATGCCACAGACGTCATCTACTGTTGCACTCTGGTTGGTAAAATTGGATGCGTTGATTGCTCCCCACTTGGAAAGGGTTGAATCTCAAAAGAAACAGGAACTGGCTTCCAGATTTAAAGGTGTGTTTATTTTTACCAATCTCATTACAATTCCTGGGGTGTTGTTATCTGCATCCTATCAGTCTTTAAATTCTCGATGAGCTTTTTTTTTGAACCATATTCAACCTTTGATAAAATCTCGTCTGGTTATCTTTATAGCACTGAAAATTAATTACGGTTGTTTCCAATTAGTAATTGTAGAGCTACTGCCTCTTGCTTAGTTATTTTTCCTATGTTAAATAGGTATGATGTTACCAACTTCCTTTCTTATTTTCTTTGTTTTTTTTTTGTTAATTACATTAACACAACCCCCGAAGTTTTTGTTTTGTGTTAGAGACATCCTTCGTGTGCTAGGCTGCTATCTAGGAAACATGGACATGGACACGACATGATACTGGCACGCGAACACGACATTTCTTTAAAAAATTGGTCACGGATATGTCGGGAACACGTAGAATATATATGGTCACGAGTTAATAAAATTTGACCAAATAGTTTTAATATAACAACGGGTTTACAAATTTGGTCCACTATATATGTCTTACATAAATATTATTTACAAAGTTGGCCTAATTCAAATCTTTTACATAATCATGATTGACAAATTTGGCCCTAATGCATGCATAAACTTAACATTGAAATATCTGTAAAGTTTATGCATAATAATGCAATCATGGTGCAAGTATAATTCAATAAACCAAAAGACCCAAAAGAATAGCATGCTCTCCATGTAAATCCCGTCCAATCCAATGCACCAATTGTAACTGTAATGTTAACCCCAACCACATATTATCATCCTAGGTGGATAAAGAGATAAAGAGGAAATCTGGAATGACTTATAATCACGTATCACATGGCAAATATCTAATAAAGAATAACAAATTGCTTTTTGTGCCACCGATTACAACTCACAAGAAGGCTCTTTGCTCTTTGTGATACTCTCTCTCTCTCTCTCTCTCCCTATCTTGCGTCTGCTGATCATCTCCATATTGGAACAAGAAAGCCATATCTTTTGTGTCTCTCTAACTCTCTTTCTCAGTCATCATCGTGAAGTGTACCCAAATAAGGCACCCTACAAACAACGCAAATTGGTGAGTTACCTTCAAATTAGCTGAAGTAAACGTGTCTTGGTGTGTGCCCTGACTTGTCCCGAACTCGTCCCATTTTGGGTATCCAACATGTGTTCGAAATGTGTTGGAGCATGTCCATGTCCTAGACATTTGGGACACTAAAACGAGGGAAAATAATGTGTCAGCACTTCATAGGCTGCTATTATTGATAGTATATAAGTTTTACATTTGACATTTGTTCCGGTCTATTGCGAGGTTTTAGAGAGCTAAGTGGTAGGCATCTTAACCTTATTTTGGCAAGATTGACTATTTGCCAAAATCAAACCCACGATATATTTTTTTGGCGGATATGGTCATTTCTTTAACAATTGCTTAAAAAGTTACAGCAGGAGTCTCGTTTTTTTTTGGGTCAAAATGCAATGTTATCTCTATTATTTATCCATTTTATTTACTTGGGGTGGATGGAGGGAAAGGGTTTCCCACATGTTCATTTTTTAGTTCAATGACATTTTTTGTTGTGTTTGTTGGTATGAGTGACTAGGTAATCATGTTTTGACCTTCCGATGAGTATGGGGCTAATATGTAACGGTCATGGAGTTCATTCTTTTTCTTTGTGTACCTGAAAGTTTTCCGGTCTATTTTTTTGTTGATGGAGGAGGAAAGGGCTGAAAATTTTGATTGCAAGTATAGAGATATGAGAAGAAAATAAGAATATTATTAATGGCTATATCAGTATGCTATAAGCATAATAATAAAAGATGTAGAATAGACACCTTTTAGTAGGACACAAAATACTAGAGAATGACTAAATTAGCGGTAATACTAAAATATTCTAACAACCCTTGTCAAACTCATGATGTGGTAGCAGAAAATATTAGAGTTTGTCAAAAAGAAAACGAAAATGGATAATAGTGTGAGACTTCATAACGAACTTTGCCAACTATATAGTAGAAGGAAGAAAAGGGGAATGACACTTAGCTGAAGATGATGATGCGCAAGACGACAATCAACTGCAATACGTTGTACGCTCATGAAATAATGAGTTGTGGGCAATCTGAATATGACTTATATTATCGCAATGCATAGAGGTAGGAGTAGACAAAGAGATGTCAAGATCAGCAAGTAACCATCATAATCGGACTATCTTAGCTGTGGGGAAAGCCATAATACAATACTCAACCTCAATAGAACAAGCAATAACAATTTTTTTTTTGTTCTAGCAAATAAGGGCATCACCAATTCAAAGAGGAAAAGCCAGTGGTAGACTTACAATCTGTAGACTTGCTAGCCTAGTCAGCATCGGTGTAATATTTGAGTGGCAACTAAGAAGAAAATAATAAATTTTGATGGTGGGTACCCCAAAAATAGTGAAGAATTCAAAAAATATTAGCCCAATAAATAGTGATAGGAGAGGCAACAAACTAACAATGTGAATTGCATATGAGATGTCTAGGCATGTCACTATAAGGTACACCAGACTACCAACAATAGTGCGATATAGTGTAAGCACAGATAATGATGTCCAATTGAAGGAAGTACAACAGGCATTGAGCTCTAAGGGCTTTCGGTCGTTCGAGTGTCTGACATGCGGACCGGATGTATAATTTCGAAGGTATACTTGGATTGAGAAAGGAGATGACCATTAGAAAAAGAGGCGACCTCAATACCCGAGAAATACTAGAGTTAACCTAAATCTTTGCTTTCAAAATTATCCTACAACTGTCTTTTCAATAAGAAGATACGAATAGTGTCGTTACTTGTAATGATTATATCATTTATATATAATAAAAGCACAATAGAACCTGAGGAAGAGGATTATAGAAAGAGAGCACAACCATGGTCACTAGCACGAAAATTCAAGTCATAATTGATAGAAGAAAATTTGGCAAACCATGTCCTAGGAGCTTGTTTAAGACCATATAATGCCTTATGGAGTTTGCACACCTGACTACGACTATGACGTAATCCGAGAGGAGTCATAAAAATTTCTTTAGTCATATCTCCATTGAGAAAGACAAGAGAGACTATTGATGAATAACAACCATTGTAGTTACATCGCTAACAATGGTCATCTCAGCAATATGGTTGAATGTCTCTTTCATAGTCTATGGTATACTCTTGAGCAAATCCCTTGATTACTAATCGAGTTTTGTATTGTTCCACAGAACTACCATATTTGGTCTTACTTTTATTAACTCACTTACAAATAACCATGCATTTGCCAGAGGATAATGACACACACTCCCAAGTGTCAGTCTTATGCAAAGCAACAAACTCCTTATTCATTGCTTGTTCCAAAGAGGATCAAGAACAACTTTTTTATATGAGGTAGGTTTAAAAAGAAAGTGAATATAAGCTAAGAAATAACAAAAATTGGTAAAAGAGCAAGAGTAAGAGAAACCTAACTGATCTGAACATTTATGAGGTCGTTGAGGATAACAAAGAACATGATACATAATGTTAGAACATGACTGAGTGATAGTATAGGAGGGAGGCACCGCATCTTAGAAGAGATAGTTATAGTCTTACAAGCATAAATATGCACAACAGGGGGACGAGTGACAGTTAAATTAGAAGAGGCAGACGCATAAGAGATAATCATATCACCTGCATAAGTGTCAGAGGGAACATCAATCAGAAATGGATCAATATAAATGAGATCAGACTTATGCAAACTGAAAAGTTATTTGGAATAGAAAATAACGGAATATGCTCCATGACATGACGAGACTGTGAGTTTATATGCAATAGGATTATAACGATGATACTCTTTTTGACCCTTTCTATAACCAAGAAAAACATATTGAATAGAACAAGTAAAAATTTTAGTACAAAGAGCATTAGGAAGCAAGACAAAACAAGTGTATCCAAGCACACAAGGAAAAATAATTAGACAACTTACCAGTTTTTCAAAGAAAAAGATTTCAGAAGTGATGACAATGAGAATGCCATTAATAAGCTAAATCGTAATAAAAACTGCTTCCACTTGGAACATTTACAAACAACAAGACAAAACATGCTGTCACCATAATATATTGGCTAGACATGACATTTGTGCTCTGCTACATCATTCTGTTTAGGTATATCAGGATAAGTAGATTGACAAATAGTGTCGTCAGCTTTTAACGGATCACAAAAGAAATCAAAAGAATATTCTCCTCCTTGATCACATTAAAAATATTTAATAAAAGAGAAATATCGAGTACTTATCATAGAATGAAAAATAGTGAATACGAAGTGGAATTCAAAACAATGTTTCATTAAATAGACCCAACAATACTTTATATAGTCACAAATGAAAGACACATAATATTTGGATCCACCTTTTATAAGAATAGAAGTAAGTCCTCATATATCAAAATGAACGATTATTCATTGAATTGGAAGGCTATGTACTCAAATGAAAAGAGGATAAATCAACAGTAAAAGCAGCAATATCTAGAACATACAACTCGTGTAACAAATACAATCATCCCTTTCTACTGCTTGTCCCAATTAGCTTCTTGAAACGTAAATCCTGTACAACATAACCAGGAGAAGAGAAGAATTGAAAATTCATGGTTAAATAGCTGCCTAATTGAAATCAAATTTAAGGTAAGTTGTGGAATATAATAAGCATCGGGAATCGTTAGTTTATGGAAAAATAATAGACTCAATACTGGTCGAGGACATTTGAGTACCATTGGCGTCAAGTACATTTACAGATGGAGTAGAAAATGTAGATACAAATAAGGAATAATTAATGGTCATGTGATTTGTAGCACCCGAGTCAAATACCTAGGTAGTTTGAGATAAACCTAAAAGATATGAAGTGAATGAACCAATGGAAGGAGATATTGAGAGATTATTAGGTTGCTAAAATGAGAAAAGCTTCTGCAACTGATCAATAATCATAGTCAATTTCAGACTAATGGATTGATGAGTGTTAGAATTTTCACTTTCCATAATTGCAACATGCTTGTAATATTATTGTATTGTTTCTCTTTTATATGGTTGTAATAAGTATACCTCTCTAGGGGTATACTAGTCCT